AATGTGGTGACAGATTTAGGTGCTGGGAAGATGGAGCTTTCTCAGAAGGCATAAAAATGACCCAAATGGTTAAAATCAGCTGAAAGCCGGCAGCCAGGGGCCACAGAGCCGCGTCCACACCCCAGGGTCAGCTCCTCTGCAGCCTCGTGCAAATCTGGGGTCTGTTCCCAGCCTGGAGAACCGTGCCTGTACTTGACTCCTGGGTCACAGGAGGATCATCTCGGCCAAGATCAGAGAGCTGGTCTGCTGCTAAAGTGGAGTGGCGGGAACTGGCCCGTTGACTGGCAAGGGCAGCCTGTCCCAGGGGCCGTTACACTGATGATTCTCGAGTTTTCTTTAAATACTCCCTTCTTGACTCTTTCCTCCGCAGTTCCCACAGAGAACTGGACAAGGAAGAGCGCCCCTCCCACTCCAGGATGTTTCCCAGAAACCACTTGGTGCCTGTGCCCGAGGGGTGCCCCCGAGGCTCAACACAGGTCCTGGCCACCTCCCCTAAGTGGGGTCAGCCTCCTTGAGCTCCAGGGACGCCCCTGCTCTGACAGCTGACCTGTGTCTCCAGCTGCCCTCAGCCTGACTGGAGGGCCATCTTCATGGGCTCCTCCCATCTCTTCTGGAGGCCTCGCCCACTGTAGGCCAGCCCCGCTCACCTGCCGAGGGCTCACCTGCCGGAGGTCTGCCCCCAGCCTTTCTCCACACTGCTGCGTTCAGTGAGGCTGGTTGAGTGGATCATAGTGGTGGCCAGAGGTCTTCTAGTGAGGTGCCACCAAGGTGGGGGGACACTGGCCAGAAATCAGAGGCTGGAAGAAAATGAGGTGGCCTGGGCTGCCCCCCATGAGGACCCCTGCCCTGTCCAGAGGCCACTGCCCACTATTGCCACCCTGTGATCCACTACCCCTCCATGGCTTCCTTGGACCCCACTCTTGTAGTTTAGATCTAGAATGATCCTGAGGGTCCATGGTGGTGCTACTGGGGAGTGTAGGCCAGAGGGAGATTCTTTGGTTAATAGAAGTATGTCCTTGAAGGGGACTGTGGGACTTCTTTTTCCTCTTTGGGTGCCATGTGGGTAGTTTTTCTCTGCCATGTGCTCTTATCACGGCCTCAAGCAACAGACAATTGACCACGGACAGAACCTCTAAAACTAGAGCCAAAATAAACCTGTTCTCTTGACAAATTCATTATCTACGGTGTTTCGTTATAGTTTTGGAACGCTGACGAACACACCCACTCACTCCTTTATTACAACCCCAGTGACAAGGTGCCTGGGCTGACTTGCGCATAATGGTTGCTGCCTGTGTCTTTGCAGATGCCACTGTTTTGCTGAGTGCTTTTGTGCTCCGTGTCCTGGCCTTGCTGAAACCCAGGTGCTCGCTGTGACAGCCCTGGGGTCCAGCATCCTGACTTGGTACCCTGAAGCTAGTCCTGCCCTCAGGAGGACCAGGAGGCTGAGCTGTCCAGGGGGAAGTCCTTCCAACCCCATTGTCCTTGTGCTGCATCATTAGCCCCTGAGCTAAACATGTGTGTTCAGATTCAAATGCCATTTAAAACATCCACCGAACTGTCAAAACGCTTTAGCATTCTGGCTGTCGCTCTGCCGCCCCTAAACTCCCGTTTCTTTCCATCCATACATCCTCGGCCGTTCTGTTAGATCACTCACACGCGCATCTCCCCTGAGGGCCAGAAAACCTCCTGGTTCCCACTCCTGCTTCCAGTGAAGCTCTGCTCTTCTGACCCAGCGCCCTCTCTCCCCAGGTCCTGGCACCTGGTAGATGCTTTCTGTTGTAAATATTGACTGAGGAGAGAGGGACAAGGCCCCAGACCCTCTGGATGACATTCTGCAGTGAATGGTGTTTATGGAGTGCAGATCACACACCGGGCACTACCTCCAGCATCTGGTTCGCCCTTGCCGCAGGTGTACCCCATCTTACACGTGGAAACCGAGGCACAGAGAAGTTCCACAAATTGCTCCAGGTCCCACTTTCAGAAACGGATGAAGCCAGGAGCAAAGCACAGGTGTTTCTCACCCCCGGGGCCACCCACCCTCCCTGTGGGTAGTAATGGGATTGGGACAATTGGGGACCCTGAACCAAAAGGAGACAAGTTTCAATTACAGAATGTAATTAACGGTCCGCCACACCATGCCCCGCTGAAGAGGCCCTTCCAGACTTTCCTTAATGAATCAGCAAGACATTCGCACATTCCTGTTTTTCAGAAGCTCGGCCAAAAGGCCTCAGAAGTAATTAGTTCACTTAAGAAGGCTAACCGTTTCCCCAGCAATCTGGTTTATGCTTCAATGGGCTCAGAGTCTTGGCCAGGGTGAAAAAGTAACTTCAGCCTGGCCCCTGTGGAAACATTTCCCACGTTTTCTAGATAAAATTCACCCTGTCAGACACTTGCTCCTGCCAAGGCAGGGTGGGGGGTGGAGCAGGGCAGGTGATGTTCCAGCCAGGCCACCAGCCAGGAGGGGAAGTTGGTAATAAAATCTGAGTTACCACAGCTTTGCTGGCTATTCTCATGTCATCTGGGAGGGCTCCCCACCCATGGCCCTGGGTGTGGGTCATTTTGTACACTACTGTCCTGTCCCTGTGAGGGAGGGTAGAAGAGAGAAAAAACAGGAAGAGCCCAGCATGGTGGCACACGCCTGTCATCCCAGCAGTTTGGGAGGCTGAGGCAGGAGGATTACAAGTTCAAACCAGATTCAGAAATTTAGAGAGGCCCTAAGCAACTCAGTGAGACCCTGTCGCTAAGTAAAATATCAAAAAGGGCTAAGGATGTGGCTCAGTGGTTAAGTGCCCCAGGGTTCTATCCCAGTACCAAAACCAAAACAAAACACCCACAGGTAGAAAGGAGACCTAGAGGAAGGACAGGGAAATATAACCTGCATCTCCATGTACCTCCCAGGTACCAGGCCTGTCACTCTAAGTTTTTCGGAAATCTGTAAATCTTGAAGTTGACCACAAATTCACTTACTTATGACAATTACCTTCATCAGTGTGAATCAACCCCCCCCCCCCAGCAAACAGATTAAGCAAAGAGAAAGTCGATATTTTGAGAAACCTACAATTTAGGGGACTTTCCAGTGTTATCTACTGATCAGAAAATGGAGGCCACGTAGCCTAAGAATCCTGAGCACTGCCAGGCCACCATACATACACCACCTTGAGGTCACCAGACTGATGTCATCCCCGCACGCCTTCCCATACCCACCCCTCAGCAAGTTCCCTTTAAAAGAAGGGCCAGGAACCCCGAAAGCACGGCTCTCACTCCCGACGGCCCACCTTGTTCTCCTTGCTTTCCTAAGTCAGTCTCTGCCTTTACTCACAAGGGCTGAAATTCTTCCCTGCCACGTGTCAGGAACCCCACTTGTCCTGTGAGTTCCCCCCTCACTGGGGAGTCCTCAGGACATTCCCCTGCAGCTCTCAGGAGCCCTCCTGAGCCTGGGGACTAGGCCACACCCGCTCTTCACAGCCACCGCTGCCTCCTTGGGCCCTGGGGCGCCTTCCCTCTCTGGTGGAGGCCAAAGCAGCCTCTCCACCAGAGCCCGGGGGCCTCCCTCCTGGTGTGCGTGAGGAGGTGGGGCTCACCTCTGCAAGGCCCTTCTTGCCGTTCCTGTGCCCGTTCTGATCACAGAAGGAGCAAGCTCAGTCTCCAGTCACTGGGAAGGCCACCGAAGCCAGCTCACCTCCCAGGCTGGACCTGCGCTTGCCGGCCAGAGCCTCTCCTCTGAGAGAAAGGAGGGGCAGTACTTTTCACTAGTCAAACAGGAGCCCGGGCTTCCAGGACCCCTCATCTCAACCCCCATCCTTTCCTGAGAACAATCTCCCACGAGAGCTTGTCGCTTGTGGGGGGCAAATGAGGCGGAGGTGGGGAGGAGGGGACCACTGCCATGTCCTGGGAGCTGGGAACACCCACTCCCTCCCCCAACCCATTCATTTCCTTAAGAGCCATCTACAAAGCACCTGCTGTGGGCCGGGCACTGTCCTAGGTGCTCAAAATGAAGCTGCAAATGAAGCCGATGAAGTCCCTACCCTTGTGGGGCCAGCACATGGCAAAACAAATACCTAACCAGAGCACTGGGGACGAGAACAGTGATAGGAGAGGAAAAAGCAGGAGGGGAAGCAAGTGAGGGAGCTTGCGGTGTTAGACCGGGGGCCAGGGAAGGCCTCCAGAGGACAACAGGGAGTCCAGACCTCAGGGAAGCTGGAGGGGCCACAGGGACCTGTGGGAAAAGGCCATTCAGGAAAGACAAAGGCAAGTGAAAAGGCCCTGGGGCAGGAGGCGGCCTGGCTGGCTGGCACAGAGTGGAGGCTGGAGGGCCAGGCCCTGAGGCAGGTCACCAGGGATAGGAAGTCAGGCGGGAGGGCCTCTGAGCCAGCAGAGGGACTGTAGCTTTGTCAGACAGGAGCCCTGCACAGCCCTGGGCAGAGAGGGACAGAATTTGACTCTGTTTTAGCATCACCCTCAGCACCTAGGAGGCCCTGTTCCCTCCCGGGTGGCTCTCCAAGTCTGCCCTCTGCTCACAGCCCCGTAAGGAAGAGCAAGACACAGGGAGCCATGGGTCTGGGCGAGGGAAATGAGCAAAGGCTGCAAAAATGTGTCCTATGAGTGCTCGGAAGCCAAGCTGAGGAGGGGGATCCTGGGAGCAGGAGTCGCAGAGGGTTCTGGGCCTGGACGTACTCACTAAAGCCAGCTCCCGTTAGTCAGAAGCACAGGGAGGGAAGCTGCTGGGCACAAGATCCAGGGCTATGTTCCCCGGGCCACCAACGGGATCACAATGTGCTGGGCCTCCCTCTGTCCCCCTCAGACTGGGGCACACAGGACAAGAGCTGCCTGGGCCACCTTCAGCCTCACTCTCTAACAGCAGGGACAAGAGCAGCCCAGCTGGTGTGGCTGGCCTGCACGGGGCTTTGGTGCTGCAGAGGGATCTCTCCAGAGTCACAGAGCACAGAGAGGGCAGCCGGGGCCACGCTGGAGCTTCCAGGCAGGGAAAGGTCTGCACCTACCTCTCGCCACTGCTTGTTCTCCATCCCTTGAGTATACATGACGCACACTGCGGGGAGAAGAGAAGGACAGCGGGTTAACACCCAGGCCAAGGGGACCCAGATGGGGAGGGCCCCGGCTGGACGGGGTGCTCAGAGGCTCCAGTAGGACTGCTCGGGTGGGCCTGGGCCGGGGAGGGACGTCTTGGTGAGTGGTCTGCATGCCTGGCCTCCAAGCCTGGACCACAGCTGTGTCTGGAGGGGCACTGTTTGGGAGAGGGTCAGGAGCCATTCCTTCCCAGGCCACAGCAAGGGTCGGAGGTGAGCAGGACGGAGGCCTGGGTGGCAGAGGCCTGGTGGAGATAACCCACTTGCACCCTCGTCAGTCCCACGAGGCCGGTGATCATCCTCAGCCCCTCTTTAATGATGGGAATACTGAGTCTCAGAGGTGCCTGAAGACCTGATCCAAGGTCACATCCATGGGCAGCAGTGCTCAGCACCAGAACCTGCTCTCCAAAATCAGTGCTTATTCCATCAGACCCAGCAAACTGGAGCCCTGAAATGCACAGGTTCCCTGGGGTGGGGACCTTCTGGCTCCACACACCCTAAGGCCAGCCAATTGCTACCCCTCCCAATTGCTCGGTTGTGCTGAGGCTTCACAAGCGTGGGGGCTGAGCAGGGTCCCCAGTTCTCTGGACACTGTCAAGGAAGCACTGACTAGCCCTGTCACACTCGGAGCAGTGCCTGGCACATACTTAATGCTCCATAAGGGCCAGCGCCGGCTGCTGTCATTAGGCATAGGTGGCCGCTGTCATTGTTACCCTTATTACTGTCAGAGCAGGACTTACGTGGGTCAGACTTGGAAAACATGTCTTTGTCCAAGAGGTTCCTGAAAGAGGGGGAGAGAGAGCAGTTAGTGGGTTTGGAGGTAAGGAGGCCGCCCTCTGGCCTCGTCTTAGACAAAACGGACGAGATGGCTCCTTCAGCCAAACTTGATCAACCTTCACTCAGAGCCAGGTGCTGGGCGGCCCCACCTTCCTGGGGTGAGCAGATCTCCTAAGGGCCACGACCTGAAGACACCATGCACAAGCCCTTTCTAGAAATTCTCCTTTCATCACTTCTCTATCAAAATAAATAAATAAATCCAAGCAATCAGAACACAGCTGCCCAGCCCCCCAACCCCAGGCCTCCACCCACAGCCAGTTCATTGTACCCTCATCAGTGCTGATGAATTCATCAATGACACCTCCCAGGAAACACAGGCTCATTGGGACAGGGTCCTAGCACATGGCCCCAGCTATCAGACTGGAAGTCCTTGCAGTAAGATGACAGATGGGGACAGAAAGGTCTCTGAAGGTGCCGAGCCCGCCTGCCCTGCCTTCTGAGATAGCAGCTCCTACTCCCAGATCCTAACCCAGGGACGGGTTAGGATAAGAGCTTTTAAATATTAGCTCCTCATTCTCAGGCTGCCCTGCGAGGTGGGGACTGGTGGGGACTGTCCCATCTTCCAGATGTGGAACCACAGGCTGCGGAGATAGAGCAGGCTATGTCCTACACACCTGGCGTCCCTCTTTCCACAGTGATCTGATAGCCTCAGGGAGCGACACAGCCAGTGAAACTCGGTCTCTGACTGGGAACCAGGTTTCTCAGAGCCTGTCCCTCAGTCTGGAGGGCCATGGATGCCCGGCTCGTGTCCCCAGACCTTCTCAGCTCACACCAGGGCTCCCCGCACCTGCTCCTCTCCAGAGGCCTCCCCCTGGCAGGCCAGACTGCAAGGGCCAGAAGGATGCTCCCAGGGGCAGCACTCAGCCAGATGGACAGGAGCCAGGGGATCAATACGCAGCTTCCTCAGGCTCCGGGGACAGTGCTGAGGGTGTCCCCAGTCTCCTGGGGGCCCTGTGGGAAGGAGCCACAGGGGCCAAGAGTCCTGCTCAGCCCACATCCAGCAGCTGTGCTGCGCGTCTTCCCTTCCCTACTCCTGGGAGTGACCCGGGAGCCCTCCTGTGTGGCAGCCACCGACTCCCTGAGGACCCTGCTCCAGTCCCTGCTCATCCCCACTGCATCAACCCTGCCCCACCTCCTTCCCCGATGTCCCAAGAGGCCTTTCCCCTCCACTCCCACAAACCCCCGTGGGTCCTGTGCCCCTTGACACCTTTTTCCCAGAGAAGAGAAACAATCGGCCCTGGTCTATGCGGCATGGCTCCCTGACAGCCAGCTCCCAGTGCCAGAGCTGACGAGGCCCGGGGACCCCCTCCACCTTCCCACTGACAAGGGCAGACTGAGCCCAGGGAGGGGCCCACAACAATGGCAGAGCAGCAAGTCTAGAAGAAGGCCTTACCCTGCGTCACCACCCCCAAAGCCACCTAGTGACTGTCAGGCAACTTGACCCCTAGTCAACCCTACCACCCCTGTCCCCAACCCTGAGGCACGAGAGTCAAAGGCCACCTGAAAGACGACACACACAGCAGCAGCCTGGAGCCGTCACATGGCAAACCCTGATGCCAGGGGAGGTCCCAGGCTGTGCTCACCAGTCACTCCTCAGTCCTGGAGCAGATTCTTAGCGATGTCCCCAAGAGAGATGTCCCCAGATGCCTGTGAGAAACCAGCTCCTGGAGAACTTGGCCACCATGCCTGCTCCACACTGTCCCTTCAGGGGCCTCTCCCCAAGGGCAGGCTCACTCTGCTGGACCTCAGGCCCCCCAACCCCTCCCGCAGGCTAGACCTGCTCCCTGCCAGTTGTCACTTAGAAACCATCTGATAAACTCCCAGCCCCTGCAGGAGCCTCGGATGAGACATGAGACGCTACAGGAGGCAGCTCTGACGTGAGCACGAGCGAGTGGCCAAGCGGCCGCAGAGGCTGAAGAAGACATTTACACCCGGTCATTTCCAGCTTGCGACCCAGCTCCAGCGTGCAGCCTGGGGGAGGGGCGTCTGTCTTCATTCAGATGAGAGACAAAGTGCCTGAGCACAGAGCGACTCTACTGCGGGGAACCTCTACAGTGAGGAGGTGATGACGATTTGGGGGGGGGGTCCCTACTAAAGCCAGCGCTGGGTCCGTCTGTCTGCCTGGGCTTACTGACTGGCTGGATTGAACCAGGGGCGCTCTGCTGCTGGGCTGCACTCCCTGCTTTTTTGTTCAGAGAGGGCTTCACAAGTGGCTCAGGCTGGCCCCCAACTTGTCATTCGCTTGCCTCAGCCTCCTGAGCATCTGGGATTACAGGCCTGCACCGCTGTGTGCTGCTGTCTTTGAATTCTACAACAAAATTCTATAACTACATAAGACCCTAGAATGTTCAAGCTGGAAAGGACCTCCAAAGTCACCTTTCTCAACTCTTTCACAAATCAGGAACGTGAGCTGGGCGTGGCGGCACACACCTGGGATCCCAGAGACTCAGGAGGCTGAGGCAGGAGGATCGCAAATTGGAGGCCAGCTTTGACAACTCAGTGAGTCCCTAAGCAATTTAGTGAGACCCTGTCTCAAAATAAAAAATAAAAAGAGCTGGGACTATAGCTCAGTGGTAAAGTGCCCCTGGGTTTAATCCCCAGTGCAAAAAAAAAAAAAAAATTCAAGAATGTAAACCTGACCACCACATGCAGTGGCGCATGCCTGTAATCCCAGCAGCATGGGAGGCTGAAGCAGGAGGATGGTGAGTTCAAAGCCAGTGTCAGCAAGAACAAATGAGACCCTGTCTCTAAATAGGGCTGGGGATGTGGTTCCGTGGTCGAGTGTCCATGAGTTCAATCCCTGGTACCAAAAAAAAAATGCGAGTCTTAGAGAGGAAGCAACAGACTCCTCCAAGATCTGCGTCTCCTCCATGGTTGGGTGTGGAACGCAGGTTGCGTCGTGTCCAGCTAGTGAGCAAGAGTGATGAGACGCTGCAGAGCGGACTGGGCGGCGAGAGGTGTGGAGTTTTACCTCCAAAGACAAATAGGGGCTTGTCTTGGTCCTGCCCACTTCTCAGCTGGGCCAGAGGCTCACAGCTAGACTAAGAAACCATCCAGTCACCTGGCGCCCTGTCCAGTGATTCCGGACTGTCAGTGGTCCTGGGACCTGGGTCACCCCAGCAACCAGCACCTGGGATGACGCAAACCCTCCCCTGCACTCAGCAGGATCATTCCTTTCCTCCTTGCAGACCGCTCCACCCTTCCTGCGTGGCCCTGCCTTGCTGGACTCTGACCCACAGTCACTCCTCAGCTCTCCCTCGGCCCTCGCTGACGGGTGCGACCCCTGGGCTCCCAGGCTCTTCACAGTGCTCGGCACACCCTGGGCTGTGGGTTCACGGGGGTCTGTCTCCTGCCTTGCTTGGGCTCCTCCAGGGCAGGATCCCATCTCTGCCACAGGATGGCCTAGCACCAGCACAGGAGTGGCCAGAACACTGGAAGGAAGACCCTGGAATGGCCCAGGGGGTGATGTCCCCTCCTGGACAGTGCAGGGCCGTGCTCAAGGACCGCTCCTTGGACTGCGTCCCGGCTGTGACGCGTAACGGCTAAGTGCCTAGACTCGGCAGCAGACAGGCCGGGTCACGCCCCAACTCTGGACAGGTGACTTGTCCCCTTTGTGCCTTGGCTTCCCCATCTGCAATGTGGGGTGGGCACAGGTCAGAGCTGTGTGGAGGCTAGCCACCCGCAGCGCCTAGGGCCTAGCAAGGCTTATAGGTTATCATCAGCCTGGTGCTAAGCAGCGTTCAGGCTTCTGGTGGATGCTCATGCTCATTTGGTGACAAGTGTGACACAAGCCACCCTGCTGGTCCAGAGAAGCCCAATCCCAACCCCCACTCCCAGCACTCACCTGAGGTGCATGCTGAACCTGCCCCACTGGCCGAGAGCAGCACCCAGTCTTAGGTCCTAGGCCTCCATCCCATCCTCATCTCTCTTGGAGGCCCCTCTGCCCCTCTGCCCCCACCCACCTGTCACCCCAATTGCCTGGCATCACAGGAACAGGGCCTTGAGACTGTGGCTTCACCCGCAGTCAAGGGGCTTCACTCTTCCTGGGGCTCACCTCTGCCCCCAGATTCTTGGGCCCCATTCCCAGAGTCTGGTTTTGCAGATCTGGAACAGTGGGTGGAGGTCAGCTGGCCCCCAGTGCTTGACGTTAGCAAGCCAAATGCCACATGTTGAGACACTGTGTCTTAGGGCCTCTGCTAAGTCAAGGACCACAACACACACCCCAGCAGCTCTGGAGGACCCTCAAGATGAAGAATATTGGGCAGTGACCCTCATCTGATCTGCTCAGAGACAGGCAGTGACTTGCCCACCAACACACAGCCAGGAAGAGCCTGGGGGAGGAGAGGAAAGCAGGCCTCTGCCCCAGGTATGGCCCAAGCCCCAGTCACGAGGGCACAGACGACACCAGACCACAAGTGCTTTTTCTCTGCTTTCTGTTTTTGGAGAGCTCAAAGAGGATTTTTTTTTTTTTTTCCAACAGGCAAAATGTATTTTTTCCCAAAAGCACATAAAACCCTTCAGCCGTCCACTCAGCAGCCGGAGTTTGGCTTCTTTTGTTCCCTGAATCGAGGCCGGGAAAGCAGAGCCTCCCCTTGCTCCACATTCACCCCCAAGGAACCATTCCCAACTCAGAGGCAGTGGGAGACGGCCCTCCGCCAGGCTTGAGGTTGAAGTCCCTGAGGCCCAGCACAGGGAGAAAGCACTGGAAAGGCGAAGCCAGAGCCCTGGAGAGGCTTGGGGGTGCTGGCTGCTCCAGTCGGAGGGGAGACACATGGCCCTCAACCTGGGCCATCACACGTCTGGGCATCCCCGAGCAAAGCCCACACGGAGCCAAGCTGCAGGACTAAAAGCAGCACATGGAGGCTACAGCCTGGGCTTTGCCAGGACCAGGGCATTAATGGGGGTCCTGGAGCCTCTGAAGCTGTAGACATGAGGCACATCGGC